ATTCGGTAAGTTATTGATGAATCAATATACAGATATGTTTAATATTCAATAATCAGTTTCATATAAAATTTAGGGGTGAGATTGTTAATCTGGAAATAAAAAATACAACAAAAGTCCAACAGAGTGCTCGTTGAATGAGTATGCTTACAAACCAACTGTTTGGAAGGAAAAGAGGAGAAAAAAATGACTAAACGAGGTCCACCAAATCGTGGCGATATACCAGTGTTTACCATTTTAGTATGTTGTTTTATTATTGTGTTATATGCGCTATTGCGTTTCATGATATAAATAAATATAAGAATTTTATTTTTTAACCACTTAATCCATTTTATGAAAGAAAAATGGTACATTTAATACAAAACAAAAATGGAACAATTTTAAGGCTACTTCTCTTGAACTTACGATCGAGATACTTTTGGGAAATACAAAGTTTTGCCTTCCTAATTTTCGTTCTAAAAAGATATAATTGGTATCATTGAATAAATATTTCTTAAAATGAACGAAAAGTTAGGCATCAAAACTTGTATTATTTCCTAAATTCCTTCATAAGAAGTAGTTTTATCTAGCACAAGATGTATATACGAAGCAAAATACATACGTATACACGCGGTAGTCACAACTGCAATGTGTAAACAGAGTTTAAATGTAATACACAAGCACTGTGTATCATACGGCACACTGTGTATCCCTTACTTTGTGTATACGTAAATGCTATACTGTGGCTACATTGTGAGGCGGACGTTTAACCTTTGTGCATACGTGCTGAACTACAATGTGTATACGTAGCATATTTACATCGGGGGAATTGTGTCACCCTGTGTCTACATCTAATAATGTAAACACATCGTAAATGTGATTTGATGTGCTGTATGGGAGGAGAAGAGAATGGAGAGACCATATGGACAGGATGCCAAATGACCGGCTAGCGAAAATTGCTAAAGAGAAAGGACCCAACACCCCCCAACCGCCGCGCCGGGACGACCACCTATAAGATGGTCTTCATCATCCCAACTGTTGTTAGGGAACCATTGAAGAAAACACAGGACTTGGTCCTAACGTACGAAGCAGAAGAAGAAGAAGTACATTGTCTGGAAGACATTAGAATTAATACGAGATTTTTTAGTCTTACGTATCAAAATATTTTAGTTTATGTGGCATTTCCATATTATCCGGCTGCTAATTGCATATCATTAATTAGTACTAACTACTAGTACTCCATCTAACCACATAGTAGGTCTCCTCCTTCAACTTTGGGAACGATACTCCATTGTCCCTTTTGGCCATCTTTTATCTCCCATTCTTTTTATGTGCTCCTGTCTTAGTAACTGTCTTGATTTAATGTTGTTGTTGATGCTATATACTTATTAGAAAATCTATCTTCCCTGACTCGACCATCCTTCTTTCTTTTGAAGTAAATTGCCAGCATTCGTATGTTAGGATTAGTTCTACGATTACTTTGTAAATCCTTAGCTTTGGATGGATAGATGTTTTATTTGAACATAGGAGAGGGTTTAAAACATCGACTACTTTCTTGCTTTGCTATAAACCCTGCTTTATATACTTTCTTTGAGTTGCTTTCTTTCGATATAATACTTCCTAAATACTTGTATTCTGTGTACCTTTTAGTTTCTTGTATATGTAGTTCAGAATCTTCGGTTTGTATTTCTTTTTATTTCAGGTATTTGGTTTTTGTAAAGTTGATATTAAGTTCCTATCTTTTGTATTCTTCCTCAAATTTCAAAGTATATCATAAGCATTCTCCTCACAATCTGCAATGATACCTTGATCGTCTGCAAAAAGACAATGTTCATGGATAGAGTGGTCGATCCCCACTCCAATAGCTCTACTTTTTATTCTCCAGTTTTTAAATGCCTCTTGGATATATATTTTAAATAAGGTAATTAACTACACCCCAGTCTGAGTCATTTTGACGTCAGGAAGGATTCCGATAGGAACTTCCCCTGTCTGATCATACTTTTTGGATTTTTGTACATATTCCAGATTATATTTATATATTTTACTCATATCTGTCTCAACCAAGATTCAAACAATTTCTTCAAAGGTACCTTGCCATAGGCTTTCTCTAAATCTATAAAAATTAGATGTGAGTCCAAATTTCCAGCTTTCTTTTCTTCAATTATTTGTCGTAACGCAAGTACGAAAACGCCCAACGCGAAAACTACCTGTGGTACTAAATAAAATATTAACACTTTGTACCTATAGCTATTGTTTTTGTTGTTATTATTTCTTATTTTTATTGAATAGTATAATTCCATTAAACTCGACTATAAGAACGCAGCTTATAGGTCTATTTTAGAGATGTGCCCGTAAAGAGAATACGCGGAATCTTTACGTGGCACATAAATCCGAAATAATGAAGATGAACTGGAAAAGCGTTAGGATGCCGAGGTATCTGAATAAGTCAGGAGACGTTTGGAGGGAGATTAAAGCTTTCCCACAAAATGATTTTATTGTCCCTAGTTTAATTTTTAATGAGGCCTAAGTATACCTTCATGTTATTCTTCAGAAAAAGGTAAAAAACTTCAGAGGAATAAATAAGCCTACATATTTAAAGGCATTGTAAAACGTTTCAGATGTTTATTTATATCTTGATGCTTCATTTTATTATAATATCATTTAACTCAGATAAAATCTTTTGATTTCATTTGCTAAAAATGTCTACCTACTATTTTCTTCCTTTCCTCGAATGTAAGAGATATAAATTTTTAAAAATCAATAATTTTTGTATTTTTGCTCAATAATTTGCTCATCAATAAAACAAAATTAAATAGAAAATGCTCTGAATGTACTGTCAAAAGAATATAATTAAAGTTTCAATATATCTACATTATACCGGGTGGTGCATCGACTTTGAAAACATAGAAAAACCCATGCAAATTTCAAACTGTCCAAATATTGGCCCCTATATCCCCTATTGATTTTACAGCGAAGCCGTAAATATGTTTTTTTAAAGGTCTGAGTATGCTGAATACACACGCCAAATTTGAACAGTTTAGGACAAACCGATTTTAAGTAATTTAAGAAAAACTGCATTTATTTTAAAATTAAGATTGAACAGGTAATAAGGCTTTTGCAAAGGCAATTGTCAACATACCTTAGGTGGCCAACCTATGATTGAAAAAATGTGTTGTGCTGTCTAAGCTACTATGTTATAGTACTTACGGTTAGTGTGTCCAATATGCATTTTTGTAATTTAATACTCATTCAATTTAGACAAAATCCTAAGATTTAGGAAATATAATTTAACAATGACAAAATTATAAGTTGACAATGGTGGTATGTTAACAATATACATCTTATTAGCACCACAGATTACGTACTGTTGACATTACTGACTTTATAAAGTGTGTGTAATACAGTAATGATAATGTCAGTTTACATTAGGTATCTACTTTCTTTTTATAGCCTCACACATTTCGCTCGCTTATTGTTCACTCCTCGTCACACATTTTGTTTGCTTCTTTTTTTAAGAGCTTTCAAGTCCTGTTGGGGCAACAATGTGACCATATTTTCCGTTATTTTTATGTTCCGTCAAAAGTAATTTTTATATTTCTGGTTTTAAAGGTTAGCAGCATTAAAACATAAAATCACAAAATTTAAAACACTTACTAAATTTTTCACATTCCAAATAGGATGTATCGTTTTGATTAAAGAAGTCGTTGCAAATAAAGTATAGAAACATCTGAAGAAAGTTGATAAGCAACTTTTGTATTCGGTATGTAACATATTGTTTTATTTTTTAAGTTCCGGTGATACTACTACCACTGAGCTAATGCTAAAACAATTATCTCTCAATGATGTTCTCATATGAGAAAAATTGGAGACACTGCCTTCTTCCTAAAGAAAATTAAGATGAAATGCTAATTAATCCTTTAATAATTGGTAACAATATAATAATGATTTTATATTTTCTGAGACCGTTTTTTTTTCATTAAAATAATTTTTACAAAATGAGAGGAATGGCCGACCACCAGCAAATCCAGCTAAGACGACGGACTTTGTGTCATTGATGATGTGCTTGTAACTGCATTTGCATATTATATTACCAAATACAACCAGCAATAAAGTGGTGTACAGGCAGGTGACGAAAGAACGTCTCCTTTGCCGCCAGTGGCGCTATTCTGCACAATCGTCGGTATCGGTATGTTACCGACAGCTATCGGTACGTACGGCTAATGAGCAGCCAGGAAGAAGAGTTGTTAAACAGGTTACCGACGGTATTGGCAGAGACGCCAGGTCGACGACTCTCGGTATTCTAGCGAGTTAACAAGGCATCGAGATACCGATTTTCATCGGTACAAATTTCCGATATCTGCCATAGGACCGATCGGTTACTATGGCACAACAAATAATTAAATACATTTTTATTTATATACAAATACGTATCGAGAGCCGTCGTAACTTACCGCAGCAGCTGCAACTGAACGAAGCAATACCAA